ACTCAAAACGGATCAGAACTTATCAGTCACAGAAATTATTTCTGTGGAATGCTCACACTTAGCTCCAGATCAAAGATTACTTTGCCTTGAGGACTTGTGTATTACCAAGAGGCAGGGCATTCTATTCACTCTATTTGTCTCGCCACCTGTTTTCGGTGGTCTCAGGCCGCTTCCTCCACCCTGAACAGGCTGATGGTGATGGGTGGACAAAGGAGAGAACAAGGGCCAGACTGATTGGTCTCAAGTGTCTTTTATTCCAATCTCATCTCCATTCTCCTCTGATTCTCCTCCTGCTTCTTCCTCCCCCATGCTACTTCATTCTCTTTCTGGATCTCCCTTCATTCTCCTTCTGCGCGACCCCCCTGCCCCCCAGCACACTCTTACAGCCTAATTAAATCCTGAGGGTTACTCATCCCTGCACTCAGGAATGCATGAGGGATTGGGGCTTACACATAGGCGTGGTCACAATCAATACGGGTAAAGTCCTTCCCCCAGGGGAAGCTTCTTCTAGGACAAATTCTCATCCAGCAAGACAACTCTCCCAAGACTGAAATTCCAATTGTGGGTGTGTTTCTCCTTTCCTTATTCCAACAAGCATACATTTATAATATTAGTCATTTTGTATGGACACAGTAAGAGATACATTAAGCTTATAGAATTGCTCTCCTGGGGTCATCTTGATCACAGACTACAGTCCTCAGGCCAGATTCGTCTTTCCTATCCCAGGCAGGGTCCAAATCTCGTCGTTAATTTTGGATCATGACAGCATTTGTCCATGACCATGCTCTTAACTTATAGCTAAGTATTTTGGCACTTTGGCTTGGACCATTTCGATGCCAGGGTAGCTCACACCTTGCCCTAGGTCCATTCGTTCCCTAGTCGGGACCCTGCTTTGGGGTGCTAGGAACTAAGGGCAACTGAGGCTTAAGTCAAGAAAGCAGATGCCCAGGAGGTATTATTCAGAGTCAATTAACTCCCAAGTTACAAAAGCATAATATTAACTGTCTTCCTGTGTCTGCACAAAAAGGACATAGCTTTAAAGTAAACAATGCAAAAGGACATAAGAGGAGAAAAGCAATATTTCATTCACAAATATAAAATCATAGACTTCTGAGGAATCTGACCTTACAAGTTATGAGAGTCTAATTAGGGGAAAAGGTGATAGACTGGTTGGGGAAGAGAGCACAGAGTAGAGTTTACAGATAAACACAGAGGAATGGAGGTGCTTCAGGAGCACTGTGATGAGTATTACCCGATAAACCTAAACTCTTTGTGGCAGAGGAGAAAGCACAAACAAATGTTACCCTACAAGGACAAATTTCACTTTGATAATAGATGGAACCTTCATTTTTCAGGTTCCACTGCATACATGTTCAGACACCAGACAAGGAAACACCTAGTCCCTGCATTTCCATTTCCCATTAGAGCATCAAGCCACCTAGAAATATTTAAACTTAGAAAAGATTAAGAATCTTCGGCCTTAAAATTGAGCAATGGAAAATAATTTGACTTTTGACTATCTCAAAGTAAAAGTCAAGATGACATAAGGAGAGTATAAGGACAAGTATTTAAAAAAAAGTGGCTGTATGGATGTTTCTGATCACTGAAGGATGTACTCAGGTGTCACGGGGCTTTTCTCTGCGCTCAGAGAAAACTATAACATGTAATGGAAGCTTGACCCTTTCTAGAAACAAATAGCCAATTCGACATTCACGTTTCCTGAATTCAAGCTCCAATTCTTTCAAATGTACAAGATCCCTTTAAACAGAAGCCTAAGTCCAGTATAGCTTCTGAATGACGAGTAAGAAAGCATTGGAAAAGTTGAGTCCAAAAGAAGGGCAGAGGGGTATGCAATAAAGTCTTATGTCCTCACAGGTTGCGGTGTTTGGAACATTGTTCACACAGGAAGAGATAAAGGGACAAAATGGTCCAGACACGTATGAATAAGGTTCTCTTAGCAGGTGAGCCAATCTCCAAATACCCCCAATACTCCAAATACTCCTGGCTCTGCTCTCAGGAGTTTCTCCTGGTGGTGCTTGTGGGACCATATGGGCATGCCGGGAATTGTACATTGATCAGCCGCGTGCGAGGGAAACACTCTACCTGCTATACTATCACTTCAGCTGGGACGAAGTCACTGATGTGGGATTGGGAAAATTCCACTGCCCCACATTGGGCATCAATTGTTGTACGCAGGGAATCCCTCCCCAAACCCAAAGATGGGTTCTTTGCTAATCCCAAATAAAGAATTAATCAAAGGGACATGTGTGCTGAAATTAAGAGGTTTTTATTGCAAAGGACTGCTCAAGATGGGCATATGGCAGGACGAAAGGGAATTCAGGGGGAAAAAACCCTTCCTGTATTCCTCTTGTGTACTTGGAGATTAGGTCTTTATTTATTTATTTATTTACTTATTTTAAAGACATCTGTCTTCCAGTCTGATTCCTCAGTCCGTTTCCTCTGTCCTGGATGTGCTTGTAGCTCTTTGGTCAAATCTTCGGAAATTAATTCCTCTTGACAGGATCAGAAGATAAGGGTTTCCTGTCTCAGGTTCCCAGTGGGACTTCTCTGTTCCTGCTCCATACATCCCAGGTTCTTTGCGAACACAGCGAATGTGGAGCCAGCTGGAGTAGTAGTGACAGGGAAGGAGAAAAAAGTGGGGTGCATCCCCTAACAAAGCAAACATTAAATTAACTATATTAAAATACTCAAAGAATTAAATGAAAGATTAATATCTACAAAACAAATAGAATAAGTAATATAAAACAGTACATCTAATATCTTGAAAAAACAAATACTCACTGATTAAAAAAGAAATCACTAATGGCATACAAAAGTTACCTAAATTTTATCACTAAGTGTTACAAAGAAAATTATGATTTAGAATCTAGTACCCTTCCAGAATGTAGAGAGTTTGCTTATTAGCACATGCTGACCTGGGATCCCGTCACCCCAAAAGGTCTCCTGGTCACCTTGAGCCCACCTGGAGTGACCCTGAGTACAAAGCCAGGAGGAAGCCCTGAGCATCACTACGTATGCCCCTTCCCACAAAAAAAGATTACTTATGGAAAACTGAGGTTTAGAGATACTAGCTGTCACTATCACTGTCCTCCCATGTTCACCGATTTTCTTGAGCAGTGTGAGACTTTTGTTGTTACTGTGTTATTAAAAATGTTATTGAGGCTATTATCTCTTTACCACATAGATTTTTTATACGAAAGACAGATTTCACACACACACACACACACACACACACACACACACACACACATACTGCTCAGTAAAAACCCATCAAGTTTTTTTGTCCTAATTTTTGAGAAGTTCCAGATTAACTATGGCACTATTAGAATGTAAGCTTTGGAGTTAATGCCATTTTCTAATAGGGTGGCTTTAAGAAAGGGCTCAATTTCATATATAAAAGGAAGGCAATAATATAAATCATCCAGCATTATAGTTATAATAGACAAACATCTATAAAATAGCACTGAACTTGGCACATATAATCAATGCATTTTATCAATAAAAAATAGTTGACTTGGCACTGTAGCACTGTCCTCCCACTGTTCATCGATTTCCTTGAGCAGGCACCAGTAACATCTCCATTGTGAGACTTTTTTTTTAACTTGTTTTGGCATATAGAATACGCCACTGGGAGCTTGCCAGGCTCTGCCATGTGGGCTGAATACTCTCAGTAGCTTGCTGGGCTCTCCGAGACGAACCTAGGAATCAAACCCAGGTTGGCTGTGTGCAAGGAAAACGCTCTACCCGCTGTGCTATCGCATGACTTGGCCTCAAAAAAAGCAAAACCAGTCTAAATCTACTTTACACAAGAAGAATTGTGTAAATTTAGCAGATTTTCCCTTCAAATTGAACCTAAGTAGAAATTCTTGGTTATCTGACAATAAGCTCTGAGGAAAGATTCTGAAAGAGATTCTGAAACCATAAAAATTTTCCTAACTAGATCTAAAATGTTTCAAAATACAAAACTCAAATGGCATATCAGTATCTTCTACTTAAGATAGTAAGATCTTTGTAAGACAAAATGATGACTTCTCTGAAGATCCCTGGTGAACATTTGTAAATAAAATTGTTTCTTGGACATTTGGAAAACACATTAGTAAGATTCAGTAGAATTTAAGATTCTTTCATGGTGCGTATTTCCACAGGTTTTCATCAATCTGATGTGGAGAAAAATTAAATTAGTTTAATTCCTTAAAATATTTAGATTCATGTATTTATATTCTTTGAGAACTTTCATATTACTTCCAATCAGGATGTCTTGAAGTTCATAATTTTATAATAGTGCCTTGTTTGTCGCCATAAATTTCACGCAGAAGATGAGGCTCCTTTGAAATACATTCACATTTCAAATGGCTAGAAATAACCTTTTTCAGTTTTTAATAATTCTTCATTTGGTACATATACTCTTCATTCAGAAACAATTGTGTATAAATCTATTTCATCACATGACGTTCCTGATATGATTACAGAAGCAGTTAGGTGTCAATCTCTGTTTCTCCTTAAAACATGTCTTCCATGGGGAAGAAAACGAAGAACAAGTTTTCCAACATTGCAAGCCACCAGCAAAGGTTTTGTCTTCTCAGAGTAAAGATTTCTGACCTGAGACAGATTTTCTAATAAAGAGCAACAAACATGAAAATACTTGGGTGAAATGTAGTGGTCCTAAAGGCCTTTACTGAAAAAAAAAATGGTATTTTGTATTCGTGAAATTAAAGCAAACTGAAATGCATTATGAATCAACATTTCAAGATTACATTATAATTGTATTTAAAGCACAAAACTTTGAAGCCATAAGTATTAAAATGTGCACTAATAAATATAAATGTTAAATATATGTTCTACAAAATTTTCAAGATACTCTTGAAAAAAATATTTAAGATGTCATTGAGAAGCAAACATGTAACTAGCCCAAAATATATGCCAGCGTATAGTGATGATAAACAAAAATTAAAGATAAACAATTTTTAAATGGCACTCACCAATCATAATTGAAGACTCACAATGGTAATAACCATCACTTTGTTTTTTCTTCTCCATAGAACAAAGATCTATGCGAAATACCATCTCATCTCCAAATTTGTGATCAATGAACTTTTTGTAGAATTCAGGATTTATTTTTTTCACTCCCTTAAGATAAAAACAAACAAAAAAATCTTATCAATAAATTATTTGACCTGGGAAGTCAGTTCATATTTTTATCACTTTCCTAAAGGTAAAGGTAAAGGCCCTCCCGTTGATCGTCGATTTGCTCGAGCGGGCCCTGTAACGTCTCCATTGGAGACTTTGTTGTTACTGTGTCTGGCATATCGAATACTCTCGGTAGCTTGCCAGGCTCTCCGAGAGGGGCGGAGGAATCGAACTCGGGTCGGCCATGTTGGCTGCGTGCAAGGCAAACGCCCTACCCGCTGTGCTATCCCTCCAGCCCTAGAAACTAAAATTATATTTGGCATAAGTACTGCCCGCTGGTATCTGATACCATAAAGATGTTGTAGAGTTGTTTTAAATCTTTATATACGTGTTGTGTATGTGTGAGTGTGTTGGGCTTAAGTGTGCATACACACTCACACACACACATGTGCACACACATACAGAGTTGAAAACACTTGTAAGTACTAAGATGGTTCAATGCCATGCATGCAACCCAGCTACCTGAGCTATTTCCCCGCCCCTGTAGAAACACACACACACACACACACACACACACACACACACACATATTGGGCCATGTCCAGAAGTCCTGGGGGACCACACATAAGGACTCCCTGCACTGGGCCTGCAGTCCTGCAGCGAAGAAGGGCATAGGGGCATGCAGTGCTGAGGATCAAGGTCAAGCCCACACACATACTAGGTATGTGCTTTACTGGTTGAACTTTCTTGCCTAGGGTGCTGCAAATTTGCTTTTAAAGTTCTCCTACCTAGAATGAATTGCATAAAAGAAAAATGAATCATTAGGATATACATGGGCTTAAGTTTGGAAACATTCGTATCTTCATTTACCTAGAGCATCAGAAATAATAAGAGCACACAAATTATCAGAAATGAAGTAATCACCTCCAACAGTAATAGAGAAATATGTAAATTTCTTAAGTGATGATAGAATTAATAGGTAAGGGCCCCATCTTAGCAGGCATCCTGCAAAGCCAACCTAAAGCCCAAACAAGAGGACCCAGCCCAACCCCACCCCAGAATAGGCCCTGATGCCTGCTGCCCTGCCTGCTATTTTCCAGAGCTTCTCCAGCCCACCCCATTAATTGAACTTTGAAGGGGCTGAATGGAGCCCTAACTTCACCCTCCACTGCCAGAATACTTATCGTAGTAGACTACAACCTCCTTCAGCTTCACACTGAAAACAACAATATCCTTATGAAAGTCTACAACCCTGGTGTACCCTCACAATCGACAGGAGATGAAGCACTAAGTACTCTCACAGGAATGAAATACAAAAATTCAGAAAGTAGCAGACACAACAGGGAAGCCCTTTGATAAAAGCCCAGCAAACCTAAAAAGTAAAGATAATAGCCCAAAAGGCTCTGCCAGCACTATACAGCTCTATAAACTCTCAGGTGAGAATTTCAGGGACATGGTGAAATAGATATTTAATGAGCTTTAAAAAAAGGGTATAGGTACAAGAAAGTAGAAGAGCAGAAATGAGAAAACTATTCTCAGACATGACAGAACTGAAAGTGTATTTAAACAAAACAAAACCCTCAAAACTTAATAGAAGGTCTGAGCAGCAGAATTACAGCAACTGAGAAAAAGATCAAGGAGCTCTAAGGTGAGATGGAAGAAACCTCTAGTAAACAATAGAAGATGGGGAAAAGTCTGAAAAATAAAAATTACACCAGAGAACAATAGGTTGAGTTCAAAAGAAACAACGTGGAACCGGAGTGATAGCACAATGGGTAGGGCATTTGCCTTGCACGCAGCTGACCCAGGTTCGATCCCTGGCATCCCATATGGTCCCCCAAGCACCGCCAGGAGTAATTCCTGAGTGCATGTGCCAAGAGTAACTACTGAGCATTGCTGGGTGTGACCCAAAAAAGCAAAAAAAAAAAAAAAAAAAAGAACGTAAGAATCATTGGTGTCCCTGAGGAACAGGGAAACAAATCTAATGAAGAACGAACAGTTAAATAAATCATAGATAAAAATTTCCAAGAGTTGAAGAACACAGATAAGCAAATACAAGGGGCCTAAGGATCCCAGTGAAAACAAACTCAACCAGAAAACTTCAAGACATACTGTACTCAGATTCTCTCTCTCTCTATCTCTCTCTCTCTCTCTCTCTCTCTTCCCCCCCCTCTACACACACACACACACACACACACACACACAGAGTACAGAGGGAATATGAAAGCAACAAGATCAAAAAGATACTTCCACAAAAAGAAAAGCCCATGAGATACAGATACACTGCAGAGCAATCACATAAAACTCTACAGGCAAGAAGAGAAAGATCGATAAAATATAATAACTCAATGAAATGGACACCTCAATAAGAATACTGTATCCAGCAAGATTATCACACAGTTTCAAAGGCATAAAACTTTATAAGATCATAAAATATAATTTTATAAGATTTTATAATATAGAGATTCATGGCTAGACAACAGCTCAGAGAATTCATCACCTTGAAACCAGTTTTTCAAGAAGCATTAGAGGAGATTCTTTAAGTTACAAGACAAACTTCCCAGTACTTGCAATAGAGTGATGATGCTTACCGTTGTTCTCTACTAGATTAAGAAAGCTATGTTTTCCTAACTTGCCCAGGGATTTTATACTCTTTCAATCATGACTTAAGCATTTTATTTGCATTAAATGTTCTATGTCTGATCGGGTGTCCTTTTTACATTCATAGAGATTTTTATTGTAATTTTTAACAATGCAGATACTTAAGCAGCATCTATAACACTATTTTCTAATAAAAAGATGATAATCCCTTTCTTAAAATACCATCTTTATAAGCCTATTTATTTTTCCTCTTAAATTTTTCTTATTTTCTTCACTCTTACTGTAGCATTGTCGTCCCGTTGTTCATTAATTTGCTTAAGCGGGCACCAGTCACAACTCCATTGTGAGACCTGTTGTTACTGTTTTTGGCATATCGAATACGCCACGGGGAGCTTGCCAGACTCTGCTGTGCGGGCGGGATACTCTCGGTAGCTTGCCGGGCTCTCCGAGAGGGATGGAGGTATCAAACCCGGGTCGGCTGCATGCCAGCCGAACTTCCTACCTGCTGTGCTATCGCTCTAGTCCATAGGTAAATTTGTAGAATTTACTTATATTTGGACATTTTAAAAAGTATTAGCTCAAACTATTCTTAATATTAATTTTTAATATCTCTACAAAGAGATATTTTTGGAAAAAAATTTATCAACTTATCACTGCACAGCGGTAGGGCATTTGCCTTGCACGCAGCCAACATGGCCGACCCGAGTTAGATTCCTCCGCCCCTCTCGGAGAGCCCGGCAAGCTACCGAGAGTATCTCGCCCGCACGGCAGAGCCTGGCAAGCTCCCCGTGACATATTCAATATGCCAAACACAGTAACTTATCACTGATTTACAATTTTGTGGAATTTCAGAAGATCGGTTCCATTCATCAATATGTGTAGATATCACCACTTCCACAATTAAAAAAATATAGATCTCTTCAATATGTGAGATAAAAAAAAAGGAAACACAGTAAGAGAAAAACAAACGGTCAGTTTGAGCAGTCAGAAATAAGCCCTTACACCACCATGTGTGGCCCAAACCATTTTCCCCAAAAAATTAAAGATTAAGTTGAAGAACGGTGCTCAAAAAAACATGCTTTCTATTCACCTTTAACAATGAAAGAAAAAATATTTTTCATAGTGTCTACTCCCCAGAGGCACAGCTTTATAAAATTCTGTTAATTCAGTTAGTCATTATAATAACCTATAATAATGGTACCATTCTAATCCCCAAATAATGACATTAAATCACAATGAAACCAGGTCACTCATTAAAGGATCCAAAGTTCTTACGAGAAGTACATCTTGGATTTGTGCTCAGGATAAGTAGAGGAGAACACAGGTAAGTTAAAAAGCACAAAATTATTATATTTAAGAATTTCATTGGTTAAAACATTAAAATTCTAAGATTATTAATAGTCTTAAAAATACGGTCAAACAAGGACTAGAGATATTAAAGGGGATAAGGCTCTTGCCTTCCATGCATTGAATGGGGTTTGATCCCTGTCACTGTACACAGCTCTCCAAACAAGTGTGATCTCTGAAAACTGAGTCAGGAGTAAGACCTGTGCACAGCCAGGTGTGGCCACAAAACAAAACAAATTTTAAAAAGATAAAAAATATAATTATATACCTTATTTCCAAACCAATGTGACTACAACTTAGGGAATCTCTAGTGTTCTAAACTACCTACCTTAAATATGAATAGTATTAAATTAAGTAATAATCATATGAATATAGTAATTTAATTTCATAGAGATGTTACAAATACTCCTTATACATAGAAAAAGTGTTCTAAATAATCTAGCCCCAAAATAGCTCAATATGCTATTTATATCCAAAATATCAAGTAAAATACTAAAAGATTATCTGCGTTTTCTAAATCACCTGTTAGTCTAGAGTGCTTCTCAATTCATTATTTTACTTTATGCTATCGATACAGCTTTCCATGAGTTTTTCTGGCTAGGACATGTTCTTAATCCTTCTATTTATAAACTAGGTTTTATAACTGTTGCTTTGTTAAATCTTGGAGCTTTAGAGAAAGAAAAAGTAGAAGAAACTCTTTACCCTTGCATTACAGTTAACAAATATAATATTGCTCCTTTCAGCAAACTCCTAGATTCGAGATGCAGGCTTTTAATCTACTGTTGACACCTATCCTAATACTTGACAGCTGCTGGCTGCTCTTTGGGGAATCAAATAGCAAGAAAAGCAGCCATAAAAGGAAGGTTATTCCTAACACTACAAGGCACTTCACAAAAACCACCAAGAAAATATGTTAAACGCTTCCTGGGCCTGTTTTTTTTTTCCATGAGGTGCTAGCATGACCCAGAATAGAGTAAGTGTGGCTTAATTCACAAGCATTTGGTTCATGTACTAACAATAATCCATTAGACTTTAAAGGTTGTTAGTTCAAC